CGCTTGTCTGCTCACACAAAGATTGATGGAACCCACCTAGTTAGTGGCTCTGCAGGAGAAAAAATTAAAGCCAAGAAAACTGTATGGGGCAGTTCTACTCTGTCACATGGGATGGCTATGAGACAAAATTGACTCAACATCACCCAACACCAACAGGTGTCCAAAGAATAATCGTCTGTTGCTGACAGCCAGTTTGATTTTTTTTTTTTTTTCCTAGAGCAGGCATTTATAATCTACAGTGGCTCTGAGTATAAACTGTATATGTGCATTTGTGGGTTTTTTAATAGCTATTTTTTTAAAATATACTACTTTATAATAGTTTTAGATTTTCAGAAGTTGTAAAGGTAGTACTGAGTGCTGTCATATACCCTCACCAGGTTCTCCTATTGTTAACATATGTTATTCTGTTGCATTTACCACAGTTAAAAGACTGACATTAGTATATTACTGTTAATGAAACTCTACACCTTATTGGTATTTCCATTTTTCCCCTCTTCTGTTATTTCTCTGTTCCAGGATCCCATCCAAGTTGCCACTTCAGATTAAGTCATGTCTCCTTAGCCTCCTCTGATTTCTGACAGTTTCTCAGACTTTCCTTATAAAGGTTTTCAGGCCTTTACAGTTTTGAGGATCGCTGGTGCAGTAATCTGTAGACTGTCTTCTGGTTTGGGGTTGACTGATTTTTTTTTATGGTTACATTTTGGTTATGGGATTTTTTTGGAGAAGCTCATGGAGCTGAAGCATCATTCTCATTATAGTGTTTTAGGTGCTGACTCGTATATAACAGAATGAAGCACTGTCCAGTCCTGCACCATCCTCACAATCGTCACAATGTTTGAGCCCATTGCTGCAGCCACTGTGCCACTCCACCACATCGGGGGCCTTCCTTTTCTTCACTGACCCTCTGTTTTTCTCAGCATGGTGTTCTTCTCCAGGAAGTGGTCTCTCCTGACAACATGTTTAAAGTAAGTGGGATGAAGTCTCACCATCCGCACTCCTAAGGAGTATTCTGACTGTACTTCTCCAAGAAAGACATGTTTCTTCTCTGCAAGTATGGTATATTCAATATTCTTTACTAACACCATAATTTAAATGTGTCAATTCTTCTCTGGTTTCATTTTCTGTTGTCCAGCTTTCCCACACATATGAGTCGATTGAAAATTCCATGGTTTGAGTCAGGTCCACTTTAGTCATCAAAGTGACATCTTTGCCTTTTAAGATTTTAAAGAAGTCTTTCTTTTGCAGCAGATTTTCCCAATATTCATTTTTTTTTTTTTTTTTGATTTCTTGACTGCTGCTTCCATGGGCATTGATTATTGATCCAAGTAAAATGAAATCCTTGCAACTCCAATATTTCTCCATTTATCAAGTTATTGCTTATGAGTCCAGTTGTGAGGCTTTTAGTTTTCTAAAAACTAAAAGTGTAATCCATCTTCATTCTCATTATATCATACATCCTATTAATCACTGATGATGCTAGCCTTGATCACCTGCCAAATGTTTTGTTCACCAGGCTTCTCTGCTCTAAAGTTATTCCTCCTCACCTCACAAGCCCTCCCCTGGTTCCCTTTCCATACTCTATTCTTTGGAAAACAGTCACTAAGTGCAGCACACATTCAAAGGATTGGGTGTAAGGTAGCTTCAGTTCCTGGAGTGGGGATTATCTACAGAAATTATTTGGGATTATTTTTCAGGAAAATTAGTCAATCCTGTCACATTTATTATTTATTCAATTATGTATTTATATCAGAATACAGTGGACTCAAAGATACTTATGGGTAATCTTCACATCTCAGCTTGAAACTAGTTGCAAAATATACACAGTATGGTTAGAGAATCTGGAAGACTGAATTCTTACTTTCTAAATGGCATGTCTTTTGTGCTATTTTTCATAGTGATATCAAAAAAAAGCACTCTGAGCTTAATTTTGTATTTCATTTCATAAGCCACTTTTCTCTTCAAAAATATGACCAATTTATCATTTGTTCTAAAATGCATTGTTACCTTGGTAACACTCAAATTACATGCCTTATGTAAGAGTGTTGATGAGGAAAATCTTAGAAAAGGATCCACGGAAATGAATCGGCCTTAAGCCTGTTCTTTGATTTTAATGTCTGGGAAGAACTATCATAGACTGTTTAACTAAAATGGACACTTAAATCATCTGTACTATCTTCTAAAGGGACCCAGGAATGCCATTCAAGAATCCAGGCCAACTTACTATCCTTCCTTTCTTTTCCCTCATTGCAAACTACCTGACAAGCCACCCCACACACACACCAAAAAAAAAAAAAAATCGGCTTGTAATGTATCCACCTTGCTCTTTTCCTTATTTGGCTTTGTGTGTGTGTGTGTGTGTGTGTGTCCTTACAAAGCAGTACAGGGTTTATAAATGGAAATTATGCTGGTACTGAGATGGGGTGAACCTGTATTTTACTTAGATTTCAATGATCTGTACCTTTGGATACATTAACTCAAAATAAGCGCTGACTTAAATGAAACCAGGATGGAGGCTACAAAAAACTAGCAGTCAGGAGTCTGGATTCGAGCTCTAACCCTGCAATGTTCAATCCTGTGTGATGTAGTGGCCTCCTCTTATATTCTTTTTTTTTTCCTATAACATTTAGAATTGCTGATTTATATATGTTAGCTCTAGGACTTCTTCTACTTCTAAACTATGTGTTGCTCTGATAAAAATTTTCCTCTTATATCCTTAGATAAGTTATTCACTAACTGCACTGATTTCCCAGGTGCAACTCCAAAGACAGTTTTGTTCTTTCTTGGAGACTTTCTCATGAAAATCGTAACTACTGAAGGTGTGAGTTATACTCATGCAAAGAAAAATATGTGACAAGGAAAGAGTGAAAATTTCCAAGATTATTATTTTAATCAGCCATATAGCCAGTCTATTTTGCACAAGATGGTAAAAGGTTTTATAATGAAGCTATTTCTTAAGGCAGGACAGTGGGTAGCATCCTCCCCTCCACCACAGGCTTTGTCCTACCCTCTAATACTTCAGATTTGAGCTATGGAACTGTAAAAACCAAACAAAACTCACTGCCATCAAGTAGATTCAACTCATAGCAACCCCTCCTTGAGTTTCCTAGGCAGTATCTCTACAGAAGTAGATTGCCCAATATTGCTTCCCAGGAGTCGCTGGTGGGTTTGAACCACCAGCCTTCTGGTTAGCAGTCAAACACCTTAGGCACTAAACCAACGAGACCGTAATTTGTTTCTTCTTTAATCATCAGCATTTCAGCACAAGCTATAATAGGGGCTGGGTGTAAAATAAATAAATAAATATATATATATATATATATATATATATATATATATATACACACACACACACACACACACACATACATATACACACACACACATATATATATACACACACACACATATATATACACACACACACACACACACACACATATATATATATATATATATATATATATATATGTTGTTGTTGTTGTTATGTTGTTGTTATGTGCCATCGAGTTGGCCCCGACTCATAGCGACCCCTCCTTGGGTTTCCGAAGCAGTATCACTACGGAAGTAGGATTGCCCAACCTTCCTTCCGAGGAGTGGCTGGTGGGTTTGAACCGCCAGCCTTCTGGTTAGCAGGCAAGTGTCTTAGCCACTATACTACCAGAGCTCCATATATATATATAACTGCATTGCTTAAATTTATAAACACTGGTATATGTCTAGTGAGTAGAGAAGAGACAAGGGTGGATTTCTTTTAAAATCCATACCAATAAATGCATTTAAGCTAAGCACTGGCTCAAGGATTCATTTTAACTGCTCCTGTTTTGTTAGCACATATGCCAGTATATTTTTCCACTGGTTCTGAAGCATCTGGTTTTAAGTTCTTGGCATTGCCATTTACTAGTTATGTAATTACTCTCTTTGATCTTCAGGTCTCTGATAAAAATAACAGTCAATTTAGCATCACATGGTCTTACTTGTGAGGATGAATGTGATAACATACATAAGTGAGGGCCAATACAAAGGCATGTAGATGAGGATGTGGAGTGTAAAGATTAAGATCAGGAACCTTGGAGCCAGGCTACATGGTTTCACATTCTTCTTGTACCTTTACTAGCTGTATGATTTTCAATATGGACTCAGTCTCATTGTTTAAAAAATAAGACTTCCACCATTACCTGTCTCTTAAGGTTGTGAGATCAAATGAGTTACTACATAAAGAGATCTTAGAAGATCTTCTGGAACATAGAGAATATTTTTTAAACATTATCTTACAAAACTTTGTAAACTGTGAAGAATCATAGTAATGTTTGTGATCACTGCGTTTCATAGGCCAAAAATAGCTTTTTGATTGAATACTCTTTGAAGTCATACGCTGACTTTCTAGCTCAACATTCAGAATCTATTTCATCATCACGTATTTGAAATCACAAGGAAGAGCTAAATGATTGTGGTGATCACAGATGAAGGAAGTGACCAAGTGAATTAAGGTTGCACAGTGAGTCAGGAAAAATCTTAGAGCTAGAGGGTATTTCTGATGCCCATTTTTCTTGTAATTTTCCTATGTGAAGATATTTTAGAGCTCTATTTTGGTTGAGCATCATAACCAATTACTCTAATATGGTAACAAAAATCAAAGGACTCCAGTAGATTTTACTTGGATAAGCAGACATGGGAATTGATTTTTAAAAGCTGCTTTTATGTTTGTATTGAAATCTTATTTGCATCTATTTAAATTGAGATGAATTGCCTAGACACCACACTCCTAGTTGACAACACAAAAAAACATGCAACTCTTTTCTCACATTGTCCTATACCTACAGGGGAATGTTTTGAGTCAAGTCAATGACTACTATTGAAAAACACCACTTGCTTTATGTGTCTATGGTCATACAGCCAAGAAGGAAGCACTTTAGTACAACATCTTCTATTAGATTCTGGTGGAAACAGAAACGGTTCAGACTATATGTATACTTATATTTATTTAATTTCATACAACTTACCCAGGAAGTATACATCTGCAACACAGATTGTCTCAATGCTGTAGATAAGTTATAATCTTCAGAACTGTGGTGTGCTTGGTGTCCAGCCCACATAATATTAACCTCTGCAAAACACATAATTTGAAATGAGCCAAAAGAATAAGAACAAAGCCATTTTCAGTAATGCATTCTGCTCTTTGATAGGGAAGAAAAAATCAGGAACATTTCTGAAAAAGTGAGCCAATATAATTATAATTAAAATACACCACCTAAAATCATTCTGGGGGCACATAGGGTATAAAGTATAAACAAATAAAACAATTAAAATATAGCCAATAAATGTGTATAGTGTATATGACATAATTGAATGCCTCCAGCCAAGTGAAATGCCTTCTAAAATATATACTTTGCTAACATATTACAATATGACAGATCATAAAAACTGGTAATGATGTAACAATACAACCAATGGATAGGAATGATTTTTCAGTATGTGATAACATATTTCTAATTAAAGAAGAACTCTCTGATGGGAGAGATTAGTGCATAAATTTTGGAATTAAATATTTTATATTATTCTTTCCTGGTGATCTTTACGAGTAGCCTCAAAATCTATATATTTAAGTAGTATTGGAATAAGGGGCAAAACAGTGTATATACTTGGTTCTAAGATTTAAGATTTCATTTTTATTTTCAGAAATATGTAAACTAATGGTTAGAGATAATTCTTCCCATATGTCACCAAAATACTTTACTGTTTCTCAAATTGCCCCACATAGTCATTATTTGTACTCATAAAACAAACGGAAATGAAAGTTGTTCATTTCATCAAGCATTATACAGATTCTCTTCATATGGCTTTATAGTTCACACACACCCAAAAAAGGGAGTTTGTTCTCTTCTTTTTTTTCCGCTAGAGAAAATATGCCACTAGAATGATTAAATAGATGAAACAGAATAGAACAAGCTTCTTTTTTTCTCATTCTGTTCACATTTTCTGTTTTGTTCATATTTTTCATTTCCTACCAGAATTACAGATCAAATTGCTACATTATACCGTACATAATTAAACTAAAATCTATGTTCTTAACTAAACGAACTCATGTCCTTTTGTCCCAAAGCCACATGATATGATCATTGCCTTCTTGCCGTAGTGAGTATAAATTAATCTTCTTTATGCTTGAAAACTGAATAGTCTACATGAAAATAGAAATATTATAGCATTGACATTTGCACTTGCTGTATTCTAATAGTTAAAATACATAACATGGCAAAATAAATTGTTACAGGTTTTTATGCAAATCTCTCTCTCTCTGTCTATATATACATATACCCACTGTCATAGAGTCAATTCTACTCCTAGCAACCCCCATTGAGTTTCCAAGGCTGTAAATCTTTGTGGAAGTAGATTGCCTCATCTTCCTTCTGTGAAGCACCTGGCGTATTTAAACTGCTGATCTTCTGGTATGTATGTATGTATGTATGTATGTATGTATGTATCTGTATGTGTGTGTATATATACACACATATATGTGTGTGTGTGTATATGTATACATATTACGTATTTTCAATCGGGGTCCTTGGACATTTATTTAGGAAATGAAAGCTTGCAGGATGATCTATGTAGGAAGTTATCAAACAAAAATTGCCAAAGCATATGAGCATTGGCAAACAAGTTATAACTTAGATATAAGAAAGACTTAATCTTATGAGAATAAGAAGATTATGAAAAGGCATTGTGAACAGATAACCAAGCCATGTCTCTTAAAGTCATGTATTTCAAGTGGGGAAAGTATTTTCTTAAATCATCAGGTAATATATAACTCAGATCCTGATTGGTTGCTATTTTAGCCATTCCTAAAAATGACATTGTATTGTGAAACAGAAATTATAGAATTTTTATTTTAAAAATGAGAACTGTATCTCCATAATTACCTCTCAAACTATCCAAGCATAATCCTTGAGATGACCTAGAACCTACGTCTCTGGTTCATCGATTACCTCTAGAGCCATACATAAAAGATAGGCAAGGAATCTGGTGGGAGTTTATATCTTCACACATAGTGTGGAAGTTGATTAAGAGGTATTTATTAACTTTGATGAATCTCTTAAGTTTTTAAAAGTTTCTTACTGTTTGGGGTCTTAATCTAAGCATTATTTATTCTTAGGAACATTCCCACTACTGAATATTTCAGAAGCTATTATTTATTACCTTTATTGCAAATAAAAACACGGTCCATATTGTTGGCTCTTTCAGCATTTATTTGAAAAAATTCATCCTAACACACCACCTAATGAGTTCACAGGGGATGTGATAATGAGGTGAAGTTAAATATGAGGGTTATAATACATATTTGAACTACTTCCTCATTATCTCCACAGAAGCTAAATACTGGAGCAAAGAATGCACAAAGGTGGAGGTTAAATACCTGTTTCTTTAGTTGTTTTAAAAGCATTTACTTCCTATTACAAACTGTGTGTAACAGAAGCCTTCATTCAATGAAGTACAGCTGTATAAACAGGGAACAGTAACTGAATCCTACTTCCTTACGTCTGTCACTTTTCAGAATTGTGAATAAAAAAAGAATATAATTTTTTATAGTGTATATTCAGCTTACTTGAAGTAAATTTTTTCCAAAAGGAATATAAAATACATTTTATAGAAAATTGAAAACAAATACTTCTTTTGTAAATGAAATGAGAAAAAAATTAACAGTGCATTTACAAATATGTTCATCTTCCCTAATACTTGAATTGATGAATTGTCTATTCTAGGGAAGGAAAACAAATATGAAATAGGTAAAAACAGTATTATTTAGAATTTGTTGCTTTCTATGAAATAATTAATATAAGTTGTGCTTAATAATATTTTCTTTACCTTTAAGAAAATTATGGATTATACATGTATATGGTATATTTTTATGGCCTTTGAAATAATATAATTAGAAAAATTTATGGTATTTTCTAGTATCAGAATGTATTTTGTTAATACTTTCAACAATCCAGTTTATTAAGCCAAAATTTTTATATAATATATGTGTCTTTGTGTGTTGTATTCCAGAGTTTAGTAACATTTTCCATTTTCTCTTAAGGTATAATTTCTGTACAGTAAAATGGATCCTTTTTAGTGTTCAGATCTACAAGATCTTGACAAATAAATATAGCTGCTTAAGCATACCCAGCATCAAGACAGAGAATAGACTCATGACCTCAAAAAAGTACCCTCATATACCTTTTTGTGGTGTGACATGCAGACTTTAAGGAGCTCTGTGGCAAAACCAGGCAAGCAGCTGGCTGCTAACAAAAAGGTTGGCAGTTCAAACCTACTCAGTGGCCCTCTGGCAGAAAAATCTGGTGGTTTGCTTCTGAAATGATCAAGCTAAGAAAACTCCATGGGGCAGTTCTATTCTATGACATGAGAGGGCTGTGAGTCAAAATTGACCTGACAGCACCTACTAACAATAATAACAGGCAGACTCTAAGATAGTTCTCTGATTTAGATGATGAGATACTGGACTATGAGCTAATAATGGGAAATAATGGGATGGGACTTTTGGACAAATTGGAATGAGTGAGTATATTTTGAACATGAAGAATCACAGTGGTCTGGAAGGTTGACTGTGATAGGTTATCTCTAAGATGACCCTCAGTCATTCTCACACATTTGTATTCATGGCCTTGTACAGACACCTCCACTTGAGAGTGGGCTGGATTTAGTGACTCCTTTTGGCAGTGTAGATGGTTTGTACTCCCTCATTAACTGACAGCTTCAAGGTTCAAACCCACCCAAAAGTGCCATGGAAGAAAGACCTGGGGATCTGCTTCTGTAGAGATTTTAGCCAAGAAAACCCTACTCTTGGAGCTCAATTCTGCTCTGCATCACATGGACTCACCAAGAGTGGGAATGACTTAATGCTGGATTGTTTTTCTAGTTTCTAGTGAATATAATTCTACAGAGGCAGTGATACATCACTTGAGATTTTAGGTTATAAAAATATTGTTGCTGTGCCTTGGGCCCTCTCTCTCCATCTGAGAGAAGTCAGCTGTTTTGTTGTGAAGTACACTTTGGAGAAGCACATGAGGCAGGGAACTGAGGAGGCCTCCAGCCAACAGGTAGCAAGGAGTTAAAGCTCTCAGTACAAACATGTCAAGAACTCAATTCTACCAACAACCATGTGAGTGACTTTAGAAGTGAGCCCTTGCCCTCCCAGTTGAGCCTTCACATGACACTGTGCTTCTGATAGCTTGACTGCAACTCCATGAAAGACCTTGAACCAGAAACAGCCATCGGAACAGTATTCAGGTTTCTGGCTCACAGAAACTGTACTTGTGTGTTATTTTCAAGTTGATGGATAATAACTGCTTCTTTTTTTTTTTTT